GCCGCGGTGAGGGCAAGGTCATCAACGAGCGCGACAAGTGCAAGACCTGCTCTGCGAAAAAGGTGGGCTTCATTTCTCTCGCCACTCTGTCGCGTCGTGTGATCTTCTTCACCACACACACCAGGTGTGGCACGGCTGGTGGCTCGTCAAGGGGCTCCCCAGGACCGTAGTAGTGCCCTCGACTCAAGCTGGTGGCGTGGGCTGGCAAAGAGCGGTGCTATAGAGTTGTCGGTGCATTTTTCGGGGTCGGGGGGGGCTTGCTCGGAAGATGCTTAGAGCAGACCGACTCCCCAAGTTGTGAGTATGTCTTTGCCAAAGGCGTGTTCAAAGAAGCCCCCGGTGACCTTGTACCCACCTATCTGGTGTTGTGCTGTTTTCGCCTCCACTCCAATTCGAGATGCTCAAACGCGAAAGTTGGCGTGTGTGTGCTTGTGTCCGCGTCCCGCTGTTTCTCTCAGGTGGTGACAGAGCGCAAGGTATTGGAGGTGCACATCACCAAGGGCATGCGCAACGGGCAGAAGATCACATTCCACGGGGAGGCCGACGAGGCCCCCGGCGTTGTCCCCGGCGACATCATCTTCATCGTCGAGGAGAAGGTACAGGCGGTAGCTGTGGTGGCGGACTCCTTGATTTGTCGAGGGAGCCAAAGCACACCGTGTTGTCGTTGGTGACACGCCTCGTTGTCGTTGCACCCGCCGTGTTGACTCACATGACTACCTGCGGGGAGTTTTTTTTACCGTTTGGGTCTGCTGCTGTGGTGCTTCAATTGTCCTGTTTGTCGTCCGGTGTTTCGCACGCGTGCTTGGCTCCTCTGACAATTTTTTCCATCCGCTGTCTTGTTGTTCATCACATGGTCGCGTCCCGCCAATGCAGGAGCACCCGGTCTTCCGACGCAAGGGCGCGGATTTGGTGATGGAGAAGAACCTGACCCTCGTAGAGGCGCTCTGCGGCTTCGACTTCTCCATCACCCACATGGACAAGCGAACCCTCAGGGTCAGGAGCCACCCGGGGCAGGTGCGTCGTGCCAACACATCCAGTGAACTTCTACACCTTCATTGTGTTTGTAACGGGTAGGAGTGATGTGCGTCTGTTGTTGAGACGCGCCATAGACAAGTTGTTTAAAGGTTTTGCTGATTTTGTTGAGTCTCGATCGCGTTCGTGCACAGCCCAGCATCATGCTTCGAGAAGAATGCTGAGGTCCTTGTCGAAGAACGAGTCTTCGCACAGGCTGCTAGTCTCCTATCTTTTGCTTTCGGTTTCCGCTGACCGCACTTGTTTCAGAAGCGTTGTGACTGTTGCCTGTACCTAGTAGATGGCGATGCTTGTCTCACACATCGGAGATTGTTACTGACTGTATGTTGCTTGAAACCTTGGAGATGACAATGCTTGTCTCATACACCAGATACCGCGGTTTGACATCTCATCTGTGTGGATATGATGTCCTGTGTCTCACGTGCTGCCGCCCTTCCCTCGTTCCGTCGGCATCCCCACGCTCAGGTGACCAAGCATGACGACGTGTTCATGCTTGACGGAGAGGGCATGCCAACCATCGGCAACCCCTTTGTCAAGGGCCGTCTATTTGTCATCTTTAAGGTAAAATTTACGCACTTCACGCGATGCACACAGAATGATCGCGAGCTTCCGTCCCGCAGGTCTTGTTGTATGAACTTTCCTGCTGCTGGCGGTTTGTCTCGTCTTGTCCTGTCCTGTCGTTACCCGAGTATGGGTTTGGAATGTGTTGGAGGACACCGGTTGATTGGCGTTTGCAAGCAAGGAGAGAGGGCAAGCGGGAAGCACACCGCACCTTCGAAAGATGCGCCCGAAACATTTTTTTGTTCCCGTCGTCATTCTAACCCTCGCCAGCGTGTTTTTCGCGCGGATTTTCTGGTATATGCTCTGTTCCAAGTACTTCCACCGGTGCTAGTTCCATGGTAGCTTGGCTGAGCCGAAATGGGCTCGAACCGTCCGTCATCCCACCGGTTGAAACCGTGGTTCTGAGGCAACGCTGCTCGCGAAGACAACGAGCCAAAAGCTCTCCGCCCGCCTCTCCCCCCCGTGTACAAACCCCCGTTGTAAACAATCGCCTTTGTTGGGACGATACGCGAAACGAACAGGTGACCTTCCCTAGCACCCTCAGCCCAGAGGCGGTAGACTTGTTGCAAAAGGTTTTGCCGCCTGCCCCCGTAACAGACTTCGACGGCGAGGAAGAGGAATCGATGCTGGAGGTGAGGACACGGCAGCAGTCTGTTTTCTTCTTGTGTTGTTTTTTGTGAAAAGTGTTGTTGCGGCTGCCTGCTCCTGTCTCGCCGCTGTACGGGCTTTGTGATGGTCGTTCGGAAGTTGGTCGTCCCTTTATTGGTCCCGACGTGTTTTCTGTGAGGTTGTCGATTTGCATGCTTGTATTGAAGCAGCTAGGTCTCCATCGTGTCATGCATTGTGCTCTTGCGCGTCACGTTTGGAGCTCTCGCGCCAGAGATTTCTGCACCGCACGACGCCCCCCCTCCCCCACCCCCCGGTTGTTGTCGCTGTTCAATGTGGCCTTTACCCTAACCACATGTTTTCTTTTCTCAAATCTCGCTGTTACGCACTTTTCTTTTTTGGTATTACTCAACAAATCCCCCTCTCCTTGCTTGTATTTTTTGTTTTGACAGCGCGTGGACCTGAGCACGTTCGGGCAGACGCACGCGCACGAGATGAACGATGGGTCGGACGATGATCGGGCCGGCCCCGGTGGGCCCGGCGGAGAGCGTGTGCAGTGCCAGAACATGTGATGTGACGATGAAGCGGCGTAGTTTCGTTTTGGTTGCTGCTGGCTGCTGCTGCTGCTGCTGCATCGCTGTGAAATTTTTTGAGTGCATGTAGCGCTCCCATGACGACGTAGTACCGCCTTCCCCCATTATGGTGCGCTGGGGCGCCGTGCTGCGAGCGCACGGGGGAGGGAACGTCACGGGAAGGTGACGGCGCTCGTTGGACGTGTTTTGGGTTTTATAGTGTGTGCGTTTTGTCTTGGGGGCGAGGGCTTTGGTGCCGTGTTGGCGGAACCGAGCTGACTCTAAGAACGTCGTTTTTTATTTTTTTCATGTTGAGTAGCTTGTCGCGAAGCGTGTTAATGCTGAGCGAATATTTGTGACGAGTTTTGGTTGCTACTGTTGCGTGGTTTTGCTGTGAAGCGGTTCACGCCGCAACGGTGGCGGGATGGTAGGAGCGTGTAGTCAACCGTACACGAGGCTTCATGCGCTCTTTTGGTTGATTTCGGATTTGCCCCACATCCCTCGTTATGCCCCCCCCCCCCCCCCCCCCCCCCCCCCCCCCCCCCCCCCCCCCCCCCCCCCCCCCCCCCCCCCCC